AAAGTTAAAATTCCAGTTTATCAGTAGTTTTTATGAAAAATTTCCGGTTGGTGCTTAGAGTTTTTTGTTTGGACTACCAAAAGGAAGTAGTGTTTTGAGGTATCAAAAATGTTTCCATCGGGTTTTTTTACTTATATTTTGGTAGGTTTTTATTGAACTATAATTTATTTGCAAGACTGACCATTTATTGTTGAACGGATACAATTATTTCAGGAATAATGATCTAATTGGCTTTGCGTTTCAATTCGAAAAAGTTTTTTTATATACGGATTGGTTGAAAAGTTTCTGCGCTCGAAGTGAAAAAATACTGTTTTTGGTTTCAAATATATTTTTTTATTCAATATAATCTCAATTATCTTCAACACACTTATTCCAATGATCCTCCAACAATTTTAGTCATTCCTATAATTACTTTCCGGAAGTTCTGCAAAATACCTGAGTACGGCTGCAATAGCTTCTTCATCTTCGAAAATGGTTCTGATACTGTAACAGTCAATCAAAAACAATTTTGGTTGCCTTGATTCCGTCCCGGTAATACGATGCCAAAGATTTAGAACCATTTAACGTCAACACCCGGCCACATACATCGATAATGACTCGCCAGAAACTACGAGAATTTGGTTGGAAGCTTCTTATGCATCCATCTTATAGTTCAGACTTGACACCAAGTGAATACTACCAGTTGCTGTCCCAGGCGAAATCGGATAAGTTTTTACCATGCAAAATAAAACCTTCAATTTAATGCAAAATTAACATTTAGATTTGCTAAACAAATTCCCATATGTGTATTATAATTCTTGATTAATTTTATTTACCTCTGTAATAATTTCTATCCAATACCGCAAATAATTATTTACCACCGACTAGTTGAACAAATGGTATTGGTGGTGTAAAAAGGGAATTTTTTGTGATTCGAAATTTTAGGAGTATTCTCTGGTAGTCTGTGTAAGGAATATTAGGGGCCTGAATTCATAGCGAGCTGGTGACATGCTGAACGAACGACAGCTGCACGGATGTCACCAGCCCAATATTTTTGCACTCTGTAGGTTAAGTTAGTGAGTTCCTCTTTGCTTGCTGCGTAAAATACTGTTCGCCGAAATCAAATCGAAGTATGCTGTTGATCCCAAAGCTACCAATCAGCAGACACCGCTCACAATATCCAAGAGTATTGTACACATTATAAATAATTAATTACGTGCGTATATGAACTTGAAAGTGTGTAAGTGGCAACCCGTGTAAGGTAGTATGTAAAATGGAATAAGCGCAAAAGGAAATTCCAGAAATACTTGCTTAAATTGGGAAATGCCGAAAGTGTCAGTTCGAGTAGTGATTGAAGGAGATTGAAAATCTGTTTGACAAGAGATTTGTGCCTGCGTTGAATGTGCGGAGCATCGCTGGGCAGATTGACAGCCCCGGAAAGGGAGAGATGGAGGAAAATACGAAGGTGAGAAAGCAAATGGAAGCAAAAACTCATTACGTGTATTTAAGGTTGTTACCTTGCGGAGGGTCAGACGAGCATAAAAAGTTTGACCCCCAGTTGAAATCTTATTTCAAAACTCGCCGAAAGCGTTTAAGAATGCAGAGGCGAAGGCAAGCCACAAACTTGTTTAAAAGTACGAAACCGTCTACGCAATGAAAATTTAATTTAACTACACATTCTTTATTGCTTTATAAGCAGCTTATTGTGCTTTAAAATCGGAAACTTACTCGGTCATCATAAACGAGGCAACCGCAAAATCTGGAACTTTTCAAACTATTCCTCACGAACGAGTAATACTTCAACTTTTATGTTATGTGTAAAGTTTTGCTAACAAAATATTTAAGTGTGTGTTTGACATTGACACTAACCACAGCCAGCTTATAATCTCGACAGCTTTGGTTTGAAGTTTTGTTTGCCTAGATTGTCTTAATCCTGATGTCACTAAAATTTCAAGTGCCACAACTGGCAAAATAAATGATCGTTACAACGTTATGTAACGAATGACTACTTGCTCAGCTCCCCTATGAATACAAGAGTGAGCGTTACCATTTCTCTGCTCACTGCGAAGTGAATTCGTAGCAAAAGTTGATCATCGAATACCAAAATAATAATAAACGAAAATAAAGAAGTCTGATCCTATTCGATTTTAAAATTGTTTGTTTTATTTACGAATTAGAAGAAATTAGAAATACATAATGTGAATATAGCTGTTTTTAAAGGGTTCATTGTCGATACAGCGGTTAACTTTCCAATTATTTGATACAAAGCGGATAAGATTTGACTCAGTTTGTCTTGTAGCTACAGGTTTCTTAAAGAATGGTGCAAAATTACTGTTACTTCTGCTTTGTGTGTATTTTGTATTTTGGTGATCGATTTAGTGAATTTGGTTATACATCTACTTCTAAGTCAATTTAAAGTGAAAGCAAGCTTAATGATCTCTGCCTATAAGATGGTATTATGCCCATTTAGACTTTCTGTAGTAATTTCACAAACAAACTCACCTGCTAAGGATTTTCTTGCTAACCTCACCGCAGTCTTTGTAGACGTTGTATCATATCTCCTATTCACCGTTACGCTGCTAAGTTTTGCATCCTAGCACACACACTTGCTCTTGTCTTCTAGTCCACTTTAAGTGCTTCACTATGTTTCCACTGACACACTTACAAACTCATGTACTTTAAGTGCTTTTGTTTCATTGTTTACAGCAAGCGCACACTTTGTATGTGTGCGTACTTGACATTTATTGTTCACCTGCGAACAACTTCCACCACCTTCTCTATATTGTCTTCGCACATATTCACACATGCGGCTACTCTGGAGTATATTTTGTATTTATTTACATTAAAGTCTTTCAAGTTTCTTTTTTGGTTTCAACGCTCGAGTTCAGCCCGCTTCACCGCCTCTTCTGGCTGCTGTGCCTCCAACGTGTTAATGCCGGCAAAATTGACTGCACCACGTTTATGCGGTGACGATGAGCTTTCACTTTTTGTTTAAACGTTTTTCAATATCGTCTTTTCGTTCGGTTTTTCTAAAAGTCTTTAATAATCGTTACGCTTGATAAAGTGTCTGCTGTTATGACACGTCTTGGCGGTGTGCGGGGTTGCACTGTGTTTGTCGTTCATTTTTCCATCACTCGTTTTAGTTGGTCGTTGTGCACCTAAAGCCTGCCCATTGTTGTTAGTTTTATTGAAAAATCGAAAACAATTAAATTTGTTATTAACACTGAACTTGTGCATCACAGAGTGGCGCCCACACACATTCACTCGCGAGTGTATGAGGCTCGCACGACCTCGGAGTCCCACTTTTTTTCAACATTCACACTCTCACACACACACATACGCCCCCACAACTATAGGTGAATGTATAAAAAACCGACTCATGTCTGTGCGCGCTCAAAAACGCGACCGACATACTTGCAAGAAGACCAAAGGAGAACAACTACAAAGCGAGTAAGGAAGCCCAGAGCGGAGCGCGAATGCGCTTTTTATACCCGGCGCACATTAAAAAGATAAAATGGTTTTATGGGTGGAAGAATTAAATTTTTCTGTGCCTTGTGTTTGAAACCACCACAAGAAGGCTCTCCTAATACTCTTCATAGGCCGCAAATCGCCTTATGTTTTTGTTTAATAAAAAGTTTTTTTTAATAATAAGTATCAATGAGAAGCTCAAAAGTAACGTATCAGACGGACCGTTAAAAATTGCTTTTCTCAGTTGGCCATCTCTGTATAACCGACTTGAAACGATTTTCGAGTGAATTGAATACCCTTGCGCCTTTGGTTGTGCACGTGTATGAAGTTACACTCGTAAACCAGTGGAACGTGCAAAGCGTTAAAGGGTGTAAAAAATCGATCGTTCGCGTTGTCGCTGTCGTTTTATCGCCTTCCTCCATTCTTTTCTATTTTGCCACATGTTTTTGCTTTAATTGTGTTTGTTGTTGCTGACATTCGCGTGCACTGCCGCATTTTAAGTTGCTTATGTAGTAGTAATACAAGTATTCCATTATTCCGCTTTATTGTGTGTTTTGTTTGCCGCTGTGAGGTTGCCTCACTAAAGGACACGGTTTTTGCCCTTTGGGATGAGTTTTCCAGCATTGCGGACTCTGCTCAGTTATGTCAGCTGTTATGGCCTAGTTTTAATGTACCGGTTCGTAAGGCTTTGCATTTTTTATCATTATTGAATCCATTTTAGTAATTTTATTTGTTTGGATACATAGCTCTGATTGTTGTTAATTTTGCCTCGCCTATGCCTCGTTCCTTTTATTTAACACAGTTGACTTAGAGCGTGCCATAACATGTACACATACATACAAACACTAATATTTATATACCTATATACATACATACGTATAGGGCGAGGTAGCAGACCAACACAATGCCGCAACTTAGACTGCCTTTTCTAGCCTTCGGGATTTGGTAATTTTTCTTTTTTTCACGCCCTGCTTGCACTTCGAGAATCAGATTTACCCACCGTTCGGTTGCCTTTCTCTCTTTATATGGCAAAAATCCTGCGTTAGCCAAATCAGTTTGCTTTATGAGTTCTATAAATGTTGTTATTATTGACTAAGAGCCTTTAGCATTAGTTGCTATTATTGTTGTTGCCTATGAAGTCATAGTAATGTGAGTAAAGTATTTAGCGGTTAATTATTGCTCACACATACACAGCCACACGCGCTTTGGAGTGCCAATCGGAAACACATACAACCACATATATAACATTTTTGGAGGCACGGCGTTCACTTTGTTGTTGGTTTTTGGCGCTTGGCTTTGTCGGTTTTTAGTGTTTGCTTTATATGTTTCAATTATTTTCGTTACTATGGCATCACCATAGGCAAAGGGCGGTTAATACGTGACATACATACTTATGCGTTTTTCTTCAGATAAACATTTAAACCTAGATAAACCTAGAAAGGTCTACACTTGTCTACAAACATATGTTCTACTTGGATTGCATGTGCTGCTCTGACATATCCTCCGACAGTTTTGATTGACAGAGTAATACACACATCCTCACACACTCTCACGGTAACTTCAGCCGACGCGCAAGTTACCGCTTTAAATAGCGAGAACCGTTTACTAAAACACCGAATATCATGCGAGAGATGAAACATTCAACCACATACACTGTGTTTTTGTCGTTGCTGCAGTCAGCATTTCAACACTTAATCTCTTCATCTCTGGCACTTACTCACACTTGCGTATTCCACCACTGGTATGTGTGATTTGCGAACCTTTCAGTTCGATATCCTGTTGACGACTGAATTCGCCTGGCCGCCGTTAGGAATCCTGTTGCCCATTCGTTATGTATACCGCTGATTGTACCGTTATACTGATATATGGATATGACATACATTGTTACTATTGTATTTGAATGTTGCTCGAGCATTGTTTGTTTGTGTTTGTTTCCCTGCAGTTGTTGGTATTTGCTACACACTCGCACGTACACGCTCATTCACAAAATAACGGAAAGCTATTCGTGTGTGTAACCGTGCTATTGCGGCGAATTCCCTGTCGGGCTTTAGGCGCAGGTCGTGCCGCAAGTACTGCCTTCGTGAGAGCGGTGAGCGCGTTTACTTATCGATAGAACGTCGGTTAGTTTGAATTTTCGAATTAAATAGTGATTTGAAATCGCAGAGTTGAAATTAATAGGACATAATTATGAGAAATTCTAGTCAGTAATAAGTCAGTAGAAGGTAAGTTCACCCTAACAATCTGTGTGAAATGGTATGTAACTATTTCTTTAATAGCAGAAGTTGAAGGTTGCTACGTTACCTAATCTAAGAACTCCGAAACCCAGAGATGACAGAGACCATATTTTTGTTACTTCTTACTATCATAACTTTGTAATGTGGCTGCATTTCTTTCAATTTTTTTTTTTCGGAAAGTTATGTAAGCAGGATTAACTTAACAAATAAAAGGGAAATAAATTTGTGTCTCATTTTATTACTTTTGACTACTTACTAAATACTAAATACATTTTTAAAATGCAACATTGTAATTAAGATTATGAAACATAGCTTCTAAGGAAACCGTTATGAACACATATCCTCTCCACTCTCCACCTTATTTGACGTCTCTGAATTAGAAGACACTTGCCGCTATCGGTGTAAAACGTGCCATCACTACATGAGCTGTAGGCATTGGGCAGCGGGTATCAAAACATACCAATTGGTAGATTAAACATCTTTGTAAACGTTTATTGCAATAAAGAAACTCGAATTTTATTTAGTAGTTGCTGCTGCGACCAAATCAGCTCTTCGCAAAGAAATATTTGAGGGAATATTTCGATTTAAAATTTGCGTTGAATACTGTGTCAATATTTTGCTTTGATGTGGTCGAAGAGCGTAAGTTGCGAGAGCGTTCAACGGAACTGCGCACTAGTGTGGGAGAGCAGGGGCGCCCTCTCCGCGAACATTTCAGGGTGTATTTACATGTGATGTAATAAGAAAAAACAGCTGGAGTCCTTGGCAGCATATGAAAGCAGCTGCAGATGTCGCTCTAAATGTGTGCCAGTTACTGTTGATGTTGTTGTTATTGCTTTCAAGCTTGTTATTGCAGTTGAACCACTTTTGAATTTGTTTCGCTGACTTTGTTTGTGCTGGTTGGAGTATTTCAGCTGTTTATATTTGGATTTTGTGGCTATTCGCGCATAAACTTAAAAAGGATTTATGTATTTTCTGGGACGTATGCTTTCATTCCAAGTCTGTACCATATACTTGCTCTATATGCCCACGCAAAAGGCACAGCTTATTTATTTTAAAATGATGAACCAATTAATAAAGCAAAAATTAAAAGTTTGAGTAGAATAATATGAAAGAGGGTGTGTCACGTCCTTCAAAAGGTTTAATGTTCCATGTTATTTGCAACGGAATTTGAAGCTAATAAAAGGATTTCTCTGAAAAGTGGAATTTAACTAAAAGGATAATACAAGAATTACATGTGAGTTCATGCATAAGTTGGAATTGATTGACCTTTTGTAACAACCATGCCTACTTTCGCTATAATATAATATACGTTTTCAAAGTTAACTACCCTACCTACATGTACAGGGCAAGGTCAGACATTGACAAAAGTGTTGAAGTAAGACTTAGCACAAGCACTGCTCCTAAAATGCGGCAACTCTGATTTTTGCTTAATTTTCAATCCCAAGTGAGTCCCAGTGAGCAACACAGAATGTATACATCACTTGTCTGAATGTTCATTGCATTTGATGCATAACTTTAAGTTCGTATAACTTTAAAAGAATGTTTTTATTAGAGTATAATTTTTGCAAAGTTATAGGTTTATTTTTTATTACAATATATCAAAAAATCAACTCCTATCTACAAGGGAACAATATAATGATTTAGACACGGTTTACCATAAACTGAACATAAAGAACTTGTTAACATTGGATTATTCTTTTTAGGGTAAAACCTGAAAATTAAGGAGCGTCGGCAAAATAAAAAAAAAAGAAGTTTGTGTGCCTAAGCTCACAACGCCAAACATCAAAGAATGGTATCTAAGCTTTGAATATTTATACACGCACAATTATTCGTTTGTTTTTATATGTTGCTAAATTTTTTTTTGTAGTAGCTTGTGGCATCCAAATCATTTCACATTTCCACTTTACTTGTTCACCCGCAATTGATTTTGGGCGCTGACATTCTTTCATCTTAAGTGACTTCCGCGCACCCCAAGAGACCGAATGTGTCATATTTCATTGTTTTTTTTATTCTATTTTCTATTGTTTTCCGTGACCCTTGTCTTTGATTGGTTTTATGGAATTTTATTGGTAAAAGTAATTGCTCCGTTCTTGCTCTAAGATTGTGTATAAATAAGTATATACAGAATGCCTTATGTATTTCATTTCGTTTCCGCCGTTGGCTGACGTCTGCGTCTATTTAATGAGACAATTCATTGAGTGATAGTCTATTACCTCGCTCTCGCATGGATTTCTTTAACCAAAACCAATTGATTGTAATCAATCATAACTAAATTATTTAGTTTGCCTAGAATTATTTTTAATACGCGTCTATAAAATTGCAAAATTTTCATCCAAATGAAGAAAATATTATAATACCACCAAGACTTTTAAGACATTTTATCTCGGTAATATTTTTTGCCATAGAATTAGGACATGTGCTTATCCTTGAAAATACATTTAATGTCTTTGGAACTAAGTATTAGACTCTTAGTTTGGGCTTATATAAAGCTAATACAATCAAATGTTCACAATTACATTTCCTTTGCTGTACATTTACTGGGTTCTCCCTCTATGTTCATTTATGTATGTGTGTTTTACTCCAAATCTATATTTTTTTAATCAAAAACCACCCTTCCATCCAAAGTTGCAAGTTCGATCGTTCGACACCTTATTACCCATGTACAATAGATTCAAAAGTAAAGTTGTGTATTTTTATTTTTTATGCATTGTTTTATTAATTAATAATCTATATTTTTTTGCATTATTAATTATGGTATTCTTTAGATGTTTTACACACATATTCACTAATTCAATTTTGTATATGTTAATCTTATAGTTTAATAGTTAAATAGTACTCCACTGTTAGTAATTTGTCTCACTTATTTGTAGAAATTTACAGCTAACAAAATAAATATTTATGTGTATGTGTATATATTAGAATAGCAATAAATAATTTGATGCTAACATATGTACGTATATATACAAAATTTTTGTAACACCTAATATATATATATACTTATCTCAGTAAATATTAATGAACGCATATTTGTACAACAAGCACAGGAAGTTTTCCGACTTCTATAACTTTTTACACTTTTGAAATGTTTTTGAAATTTTAGAGGCTAATTTGCTCCTCTGATTAGTATAGTTTAGTTATAAAAAATACATTAGAAAAATATCTACATACGTATACATATATACATACTTATATATATGTGTGTACACAGAAACATAGCTTCATATTTAAGGTACAACTCAAACAATTTGATTGAATGCACTTTGTTTTGCTTTTATTTTCTATTTATTCATACTTAACATACCGTTTATTTGGTTAGTTAAGGTGCGACTAGCATCACGTGATGACGTTTGTTTGTAAATACATCACATTACCACAATAAATACTATTTGATAAATAAAGTTATGCTTCAATAATGAAAGGATGCCGTTATGAGTTTTTGGCTTCGCTTTGCTGAAAGCTGTTTGATTCGCGCTCATTCCAACTGCACTACTATTTTTTCCAGTGCAAATATTTGCATAAATCATTGTCATTGCGTGCAAACACACACATCCACTGTGTGTTTTAGAGCTTTATAAAAAACACTCGTATAATTAACTGTGAAACTTAAATTTGTACATGAATATACGAGTAATCCGTTCGGCGTTTTTCGTAAATAAATCAGTGAGTAATTGATGGCGGTGCCGAGTTACACGATATCGGAATATATTTTACATTAATAAAAAAAAAACAGCAAACAAAAGCAGTTGGTTTTTGCGCTACTTTTTTGTGCTAAATTTTAAAATTTTTTTTGGCTCTTTGCAACATTTTATTCTCGATGGGTTTCTTGCTCTATTTATTTCATTTGTTGTTTAATTTTCGATGTGTTGTCGCATAAATTATAAAACTGAGATAATAAATTTACAATTTAGCACTAGAATTCACACTGATATTCAATTTCTGAATGTTTTCCATGGAACCGTTAATATACGTCACTGCTGAAATTTTTATTCAAAAATTTTCTACGAAATGGATTTTTTTACATAGTGTTTTTCAAAACTTTCACTTCATTAAGCTTTTGAGTCACATGCCACAAAATTTTAAAACTTTTCGCACACACACATCCACATTTTTGCCGTTCGTTTGGCATCGCATTTGCTGGAATCAAGTTGCTGACTTATAAAGCGATTTGCAAGCCGTGCTTTGATGGCTACCCAGTCAACTTAATTCCAGGAATTGCAACGCAAACCTCTCGCCAGTGACTGAGATAATTAGATTTACTTTTATTTTGTGATGAGTTGCTTTAATGAGAATTGTTTTCTTAATTCCAAATTCGACGAATTTGTTGCACTAAGATTGGTTTAATGAAAGGAAGTGAAATATTATATAATACCAAGCGTTATGTTATTGTTTTTCAAAAATGTACACATAATTTTCCAAAGCTGTTGAATAGAGCAAGTTGTTCGCTGTATGTTTATTGATATTCTCAGATTTATGAAAGTGCAAAGAGTATATTGAAAAGTCGACTTATTGACTTATTAATGTAATTTGGGTGAAAGCGTTTTCAAAAATAATGAATGCTCGTGGAATGGTTTTTCTTAAAAAACAGAATTTATGTCAAAAATAGCTCTAAAACCATTTGTCGGAAGAAGATAAGGTTGGGAAGACTTGAAAGTGCCAGCATAACTTACAGAAGCGACAGCAGGCCAATTCTAGAAGCAAGGTTTTGCGAAATTCTTTTGGAAGCCACATTTACTACTTGTATTTATTGGTAATTGTCTTTTTTGTCTCCTAATAATTCTTTTATAATTGCATTGTCATTGATGCGTTTGTGTTGGTGAAACAACTGTTATTGCTTATTTGGTTTGGATCGGTTTGAAAGATTATGTTAATTTCAATATTTTGGATCTAGCAGAATTTCGAGTTTCTTGGAAGAGTTTCTCCTTTACGTATTTTGTTGCACGGTTTTCGGCTTTCGTAACACCACTAATGGAGCAGTCTGTGGCGCATATGTAAGTACATTTTTTTGTTACCTAATTTTGAATATGATTCTTTTACAGTCCGTTAAGTCAGTTTGGGATTGTTTCGAAGGTTTGCTTCTCGTGTACATTCAACATTTATGAGAGTTACGTAATTAGATTGCTTAAGATTTGATTTTTTGTTATCTTTCGCGTTTACATTACTTTGAATTTTGACTAAAACTAATCTATTAAAAGTTTTTGATTTCTATTTTTGGTACATTTTTGAATATTTCATTGTGGTAATTTCTGTTCTGTTTTGTTTTGCTAATTGTTATATGCATACTTCGTATAATTACCTAATATTCTCATTTATATATTAATAATAATTTATTAGCATAAATTTTGTTAATTGTTATTAGTCTCTAGTTAGTTGTTACTCATACAAACATATATACAAACAGATTACACAAACAATGTTGCCTAATGTTTATTGCTTTCGATTGTCACTAATTCAGTTTTTACATTTCTCTTCCTACTTACATTCGTATATGTTGGCTATTTTATGCTTCTTTTTTATTTTTTCGTTTGTTTTTGTATTTTGTATTTGCATAGTGATTACTGCTAAAATACTCGTATGGTTAGTCTTCTAAGCATTTTACTGCGTTACTCGCCTTTCTATAAGCTATTTTTTATTGCTGTTGTTGTCAATTTTATAACTACATATGTTGTATTTTGAGAAAAGCCCCTCAATATGAATTGTTATATAGTAAGTTGGCAGATTTTAGTAAGCTTTATATGTTTTGCTAAAAGAAAAAAAAAATTTTTAACGGGCTTTTGTCTGGTTTATTTTTCAGCAATTTCGGTGAGATGGAACTTGTATGAAGTCGGAGCTAAAATAATTCGTACTTTTTTTTAGTACGATCTTCACTTCGAATGCATTATTCGAAATTTAGTTTACAAAAACTGAGTATTAGAACAGTTGTAGAAGCTCGCAATGCTTTTTTAGTTGTGTGGCAACTGCCGCCAATTAAGACCGTTTGGAGTAAAGACGTGAAAAAAATTTAAAAATAAACGAAATATTGTGGGTTATCGCAAGTGTGACTATCGAGATTATTCCAAGTGCTAACACGCAGAAAATTAATAAATAAAATTATGAAATGATGATATCAAAAGTATGAGAGTTGAGCGAGTCGAACTGGTTTTTTAAATGTTTAAAGTTTGCCGATTTATTCCGGGTTTTTATTGCTCACAAATCATTATTTTCGTAGTGAAAAAGTCTTATTCCTAGCAGTCATGAACTATAAACATTTTATAATATTAATTCAATGAAGTAATTTTGATTTGGCATTTGGCATATTCATCAAATGTTTAAATGTGTTCACATAGTTAACGTGCTTCAATTTGATTAAATGTTAAATAATGAACACCAGCACACACACACGCTCGCGTCGATGCAATTTACATTTCCTCTTAGTTCACATTCTTTTTTAATTAGCTAATTAACATTGTTTGCAGTTCACTTAAACATGGATGTTTCGTATGTATGTATGCATCCACATATAGCATACATCTGTACGCATGTATATGTATGTATGTAGGTACGTATGAGTATATTGTGTTTGGGAACAGGTGTGTGCGTAACTTTCTCATTAAAATAAAATCGTTTATTTGCGAAATGCTTCAATGTTTTTTGTCCGTTTCGGCTTTTTTCGGCGTTGTTGAATAATAATAATATTTAAAAATGTTTGCTACGAGCAAATTTGTTGCCGCTTTTTAGCTTTAAACACAATTGAAACGCGATTAAATCTACAAGGGGCGAGTGATTGAAAGTCGTTTGGGAGAAGGTGAGAATTAATTTCACACACTTTTGTGCGTCGCTTAATTGCAAGTGATTGCATAACGGTTTTTGTTTGCCAGTACATCGCTTATTGAATAATATATGAATTTTATCGGAAAGTGAGCGCGATAACGGGTTTGTGCACGGTGTTCGGCCTTTTTTGCATCGAAATGTCGGCGTTGTTTCACGATTGATTTCCGCAAAAAAGCTTTTGTCTGATTAAATTTTGCCGACGCAACCGCCAGCTGCTGGCGCAGATGCCGCGCCAGGTGCTAATTCAGGTGCACATTTACTAATTAATTGGGAATCGGAAGCAAAAAACACATATCTATGATTTTGGATATGTTGCACAGCGGCAAAGAGAAGTTCAACACGCGCTCTCGCGGATTATTGTGCTGCAAAAAGTATTAAAAATTGCATTACTGATTATTGATCGATTAAATGTTGCCAAGCATGAGAATATATCGACTATTTTATGAAAAAGTAACTTGATTCAAATGTGTTTTAATTCCGATAAAGCTTACGAGTTTAAAACACGAAGAAATTTCTGCTTTAAAACATCCTTTAACTATTATCGATTTTTGTAAATTTTTAAAATTTATTTTTATTTTCGATTTTTACATTTAACGCTTAAGTGGTGTAATGCGAAATGAAAAGTTAGCCAAAAAATATTTACTTCAATAAAAATTTTTGAATGTTTATAGGTCTTTCAGTTTTTTCAGAAAACGATAAGCGCACGTCTAATAAATTATATTTGGACAATTGAACAATAAATCTCTTTCCAACTGCGAAGCGTAACTAACAACTTCTTATTAATTTCCCAGTCTCCATCAACTAACTGAATAATAAGAACTATAGCTTTTGGCCAAATGGAGTATGCGTAAGGCAAAATTCTATATTTCCTTTTTTACCGTTACGACGTTTTTTGATGCATACATACATACAAAGTTCTGCGATAAGTACTCAATGCGGTTTCTATTCGGATTCCTCACATGACACCTTCGTCACCTCAGTTAGTGGTCTGTGGGGGCGAGAGTTTTCCCTAAACGTGTGTGTGTTCATGTATTTCAGAGCCTTTGGGCGTTGTCACTGTTGTTGTTATTGTAGTCAACGCTGTGCTTGTGGTGTTGACCGTGGCCGCGTTTACTGCTGTCGCTGTTGTAGTTGTAGTTGTTGCTGCTGTTGTCATTTTATTGCTTTTGTTCCACTTCTTGACATAGGCCAACGGTATTTCGATCTGTATCTGTTGCGGTTCATCATCATCGCCATCACCGATGTCCGCGCCAGCCCTGCCTTGCATATCGCCGCCATTTAAATCGTTGCGAGCGCCAGGTTTGATCTCGAGCAAACGCTTGCCGACATACGACGGTAGTGGGAGTGGCGCCAACTGATGCATGCCACTGCCGGCAGCGCGTATTGGCGTCGAGTCAGTCATCTGCATGGACTGTTGGGTTGGCAGCAGCTGCATTGACGTGGATCGCTGCGGCGGTGTGCGCGCCACCGACAACAGCGAGTCATCCCGGCTGTATTATAAGCTGTCGACCAGTTGGCTGGTACGCCTGGTTGGTTGGCTGGCGCTCAAGTAGTTCTCGGAGTAGACGCTTTTGGCGCGTGTGTCATAGCGCAGGCTGGAACGTCGTATGTCGATGTCGAGCGGCAGACCACGATCCCGCCACCAGTTGCAGAAGAGACATTGCAGGGTGTTGCGGAACGCCTCTCGAAACTCGCGGTTGAAGTAAGCGTATATGAGTGGGTTGAGTGTTGAGTTGAAGTAGCCAATCCAAAAGAGTATGGCGACCACAATGTCCGGCGCGGTTAAGTCGCATAGACTGGTTATGGTGTACCTGAAATGATGGTAGAGATTATTTTAGGGTTGCGCTGTAACCTTAAATATAATTTGAAAAATTTTCGTTTCTATTGTTTGAGGGCAAAGTTTTTTTAAAGCAAATAAAAATATCTTGTTGCACTGAAATTCCTTTTATCAACTCTTTCGTTGGCTTATTCTCTTTGTTTCGGAATGTTAATAATATTGCGGAAAGTTAACATTTCCTTTTTTCCTCCAGTACACACGCTTCTAGCCAAAAGTGAAATTCGAAACATTTTTAATTCAGCGAAATGGAAAGAAAGTTACGAGAGTTTGAGAAGAATGTACCGCTGGCTCTGTGCTCTTTTTGCACCAGCTTCTTGCGCATTTTCTGCCTTTCTTCACTTCTTTTACCCAAACTGCAACAGGAAAGTAGGGCTTTTAATCGGTTTAAAAATGGCCAGTGGCCTTTTCGCTTCTCAGCGCCGTTTAAATAATTTAAAGTAAGTCAAGTGGAACTTATCTCGAATTCATTTCAGACAGCTGAAGTTGTTGTTGCAGAGTATTTTAATTAGTGAATGGTTGTGAGAAATAGAAGTGAGCTCTGAGGTCTTGTCAAAGAGAGTTACTGTCAAGTAAATGAGTTTATAAAGATGACAAAGCAATCGAATGGACCTATGAAAAATAAGCTCCACATGCACAGAAAATACTTTTGGAATAAATTTGTGAAACAGGCCACTTTATTCCGGTAGAAAAAAGGGTAGAGGTAGTGTGATGTAAAATGAGGAAAATTCCAAAACTTGGCTTAACTTCGGTAAGTGGCTAGAGGTTCTCGCAAGATTGTGGCAATCGAGCCTCTTCTTTGTACTAAGCGCCTCTGTGGGACTATTGGTATTTTAGTATGAGTATTTGTTAGAAATAAGAGGGTGATCCTCGTGTATTCCCACTGATATTCAGTGAATTTGAAAATTATTAATTGCCTGAATGTTGCTGTTCCGCTGTCTAATTTATTCGCGTTATTTTGCCAAATAACAGTTGTGATTTACAAATGTGTAAGGCACAATTAAGGATATATCAATCGGTCTATTGCGCTGGATGGAAAGTTCCAGCTGAATGAAGGATGCGTTTTGAGTCTTTTTCATTTATGATTCGCTCAAAAATCTACATAAGTATGTTACGTGATATACGTATACAAAAAAAAAATGGATTAAAAGTAGTTGCACTTAACGACACAGACACTTACCAAAGGAAGAATGGCAGCCAACACACGATGAACGTGCCCATTATGATGCCTAAAGTTCTCGCAGCCTTGTGTTCTCGTTTCATTTTGATTAAATGTTTGTCCTTTGTCGGTGTGTGGTCCTGCTCCACTTCGTGCAGCGTCAATGTTTTCGACGAGCCGGAGCCGCTGAGCGCCTCACCTGCGGCAATCAAAGCAAATCGGTTAACATGGAAAACAAAGGGAAACAAAGTAAAACAAAACATATGCTCAAGTGGAAATATTCGCTGTGTACAAGAAGTAGTTACACAAAAACGTTCGACTCGCTATAATTTTCAACAAATTTTGGCATTTAGCGATTGGCCATAGAACAGGAGGGAAACGAAATAAGAGCGGGGTGCCTTAAGGCTACACAGGATTATGGTAACCACAGGAAAAACAAGAAGCCACCCATTGGGAAGCGCAGAAGTCTCTCTCTATATGTTGAAATAGTATAACTCACGCGCTCGCTGGCCGTTTGTGCTCGCCTGTTGCCGTTTGACTAGCCGCCGAGTTGTTTGTTTTGCCGTTTGGTGCGTTTTGTTTGGCTTCCTAGGCTGTTAAGCTGTTACACAACAAAGTGTTTGGAAGAAATGTTCGTAGAACGCCAATGATTGAAAGTGCACCTTAAATGTTGAGTATACGCCATGTAGAACGAAGTATATTCTGCCGTCGTGTTCGTGCAACTTACTGCTGGCAATATTTATGGCGTACTTTTTGTAATATATCGTCGAAATATTTTGAGCCTGAAAAAGTTTGCACATTAATTGTTGGCAGCGTACAACGGTGGCCCATATCGTGTAAGAAATTCACCTGGCCATTAGCTAAAGCAAAACTCGCAGCTGTGCTGCCTTGTTTTTACAAGCACACGCGCCTGCCTCAACTCACTTAAAGAGTTGGTAGGAAAATGTAAAACATTGGGGTTACTTTAGATGTGAGCATTTGATTGTATTTGCAACTTGTAAAGCCGTACATATTCTACAGAGTTTCGAAAGCTTGTGGCACGAGAAGAATTTTTAAAAGAAGTTTTGGTTTTCAGGTTTGCAGGAAGGAGCTGGAGGGACTTTGGCATACCTGTATTGTTGCTTACTCCAACGCTGGCACGCGCATCCTCGGAGTGTCGGTGCATCAACATCGCGTTACCTTGCCGCGCCATCATTTGCTTCTCTTGGCGGTTGGCCTCCCGGAATATCGCCAGGTACGTAAAAATCATGATCGTGCAAGGAATCCAAAAGGAGATCGAGCTGGAGATGACGCAGTATGGCTTATTGACGATGAACTCACAGCGATCGGGATGTCGTTTCACGTAGTTCTTGTGCTCTTCGGTCGTGTACCAACCAATGAATATGGGCAGGAAGGAGAGCAGAGCCGGCGAGACCCACGTGTTTATCAGCATGATGGTCACAACGCGTTTCGTCATATTGATTGGATACTTGAGCGGCTTTACAATAGCATAATATCTGCAGATAATAAATTAAAAAATAGGGATAAAAGTAGGAAGAATTGATGAAAGTACACAAAAAGTCGTAGAATGTTCTAGGTACAAAAATACTTAAAACTAAAAGCGCCTCAAAAAGTCTGCATTTCATAGTTGCTTGCAAGAAGAAAAAGTGAATAGAACTCACCAACGGTAGCGGCTTTTTTATTAAGTGACAAAAGCTACAAAAAAGTAGTTTGATATTTCTATTTATATAAGAAGTTGGGAGAATATTTATGCTTTGTTAACTTCCGAAATTTGAGTACAAGTACTGAAAGATTTGTTTTAAAAGTATCTGGTATTTTTAACTTCTTGACTGAATGCAGTTATGTATGTGCTAAATCGAAAGGAAAAAATACTTGAACATAAAAGTCATATTTTTCGGTGTCTTGTGTCATTTGACGCATGTTGCAAGTGCGGCAGTTGCGCTCAGTCAATTGGCGTACTCTATTTCATTCCACTGACTTTCACTTCGCTTGTGTACACATGCATGTGCCAGCGTGTATGTGTGTCGACATATGTGAGCATTTCAATTCGGTTAAGAAAATGATCGTCTTCTTTACTGACTCCTCTTCCCATTTTTCGCCGCACTTTGGCTGCGAACAGCCACAGACATATGTAGCTACGCACCTATGTATGTATGAATGCATGCGTTATCTACACATTTGTGTGACGAAATTGATGAAATTTGATTCTGTTTTCAGATACATACTTTCATACGCTTTAATGCCAATATATTTCGCTTGTATATATTTGCCAAATATGCTAATAATAAATTCCGTTCTTTTTGACATATGTCTGAATGAAATTGAATTTTGATGAATTGGTGAATTTGGCGCAGATTTTTGCTTGACACATGACAGCTGCTTGGACCCACTCCTATATTGCGGTCAATTGTCTTCTGTTGTGAGTCTTTAGGGTTTGTAACACCCATGAGTTCGGGAAAGTATTACGATGGAAATGTGAAGAAACTTGAGATGTAAAATAAATAGAAACTGCTAAAAAGAACATTGCGCTAATTGGAAAAAGGCCATTAACACACATAAGACTATGAGTGGCACACAAATAATTATTTCATCTCTTAATAGCTGCACTGTTCAACTTGTCGTCACGCTCCATCAAAATGAACTTATTTGTGACCTACAAATGGGATTCTTAGACCCAATACAAACGAGATATTTTTCTCTTTAATTTGGCTCGATGTAGTTTTGTGTTGTTTTTGTTATCGTAAGGCATTTAGGACTGTTTTTAAGACAGTTTTGATGTTAAACTGACTTGATGTTATAGGAGTCCGACTTGTATCGGTAATGCATATATAGTAACTATTGACAAGTAATTATCTGTGATTAGTAGGCACAAAATATTACACTACTAATATGACACAATAGAAATTGCCCGAGTAAAATAATTCTTTAGTGTTCAAGTAGATGTGGCGGCAAAAGACTTCAAGATGGCACTAGTTGCAAGCTTGACTGGAACCTCTAAACGTTTAAAATAAGCTTTATTTCGAAAAAACCCTCCCTCTTGTGTGTAGCTTGATGTTCTTGTGAGTGTAAATTACTGACCACAAATGTGTCAAATTTTATTTTACATTTAAAGCACATGAAGTCATCTAACGTTCCGTAAGGTCAGCAGGAATTGTTACACTCACCTGTCGACCGATATGCAACACAGATGCAAAATGCTAGCGGTTGAGAAGTATACATCCAAGCTGTTCCACAGATCGCAGACAAATATTCCAAAATTCCAACTGAAATAGAAAAGTAGTGAAATTATAATACTAAATTAGCAAAGAGTGCGTTAAATATAAGTTAAGATTTAAGATTTTCTACAATTACAATATTCGCACGCACAAATCGGAGAAAATTGATCAGCGAATTCATTCAATTTGCCATAACAGAGCACTATTTCGAAGTTACATAAAGCCAAGACAAATAATAAGTTTAAACATATATGCCATTAAGTTCTACATGGCCTCTCGAAAGATTTTCAGCGAAGTTGTATACAGGTAAACAATTTAAGCTCCCCCTGTTCATTGTTTTAAATTTCCAAAGCAGAATAGCAATGGCGCTCCGTTTTGGAATGATTACTTTATTTCAGCAATAAGCCACATTTTGTTTCAAGATGACGAGATGTTGTTTCATGTTTCATGTGAAATTATGAGTGTGGAAGTGAAAATATATGTAAACGCAGGCGAATGTAAATTATTGTATGAAATAAAGAAAGCCATGTGGCAAAATAGAAATGGAAATGTCGCCACAAAATGTATGTATAGTATCGATAAAAAATAAATTGTTAGCTGTTTTCACTTGTCTTTTTTTTTTTATATAATGTTCATATTTATGCTTTTCAATACCTCAAACACGGTGTAGTAGTACGAAATTTGTAACACCCAAAAGAAAATGTTGGAGACCCTATAAAATATATATGAAGGATCAGCATGATGAGCTGAGTTGATTTAGCCATGCCCGTCTGTTTGATATATATTTTTTAGATATCGTTCTTAAATTTCGAATACGTCATTTCTGCTTAATAAGCTGCTTATTTGTCGGAACCGCCGATATCGGACCACTATAGCATATATAGCTGCCATACAAACTGAACGATCAGAAACAAGTGCTTGTATGGTACGCTTTTTCACTTGAAGAGATATTATCAAGAAATTTGACTGGGTTATTGTCCAAGCAACTAGCAACTAGCATTTATTATATGTGAAAACTTAAGTAACTTATTAATAAACTTATGCTTCTTCCTCATTCATTGCTGCTAGTTAGAGCGCTTTGTTTTAGCGTTTCAATGGTGGGATATTCTTTCGAATTTGATTATACTCAAACTGAAATAATATTTGACCTATTTAATTGCTACTTATGCCCTCTTCTACGCATTCAATTCACGTAAGGAAGCTGTTCTATTTCTTGTAAAAATATAAAAATTCGAAGCGTTCAACTGGTGACTGCAATCGATATTTCCACACTTTCACAACTTTTTGCTTGGCTTTCGTAGAGCACAAATGCGACGCATTTGCTGCATATATCTTTATAATCCTCCACTGTTCTTCTATTTTCTTTTCATTTCCACTTCCTACTATCACGCAATCGCATTTGTCACTTCATTGCCATCGCGAACATCCCGTTAGTTAGAATCAGTTCGCCAATTTTAGCTGTGTGTGGGTATTTTTTGCATATTTTGGCTAAGAAATATTTTTATGACTATATTCATTATGTCATAGCAATTTCAGCCCCACTTGCAGCTGAGAACGAGAGTTTTATATTCTCGCGCTTTTGGAGAATTCCCAACAATGTCATAATCATTTAATTTGCCAAAGTTCCCAAGCACCGCAAAGCCCGCGCTGCATTTTCTGCTCCGCGCGTCTCGAAACCAGCGTATCCTCCCAGTCGCGCACCTCTTTCTTCTCCATTTCGCTTATTACCCTATGGAGTCAGTCCAGCGTGTTCGTACAACTCATTATCTGCGATCTATAGCACCGTTTCGCGAAATGAACGAGAATCGCATGAAAGTTGAAAAGCAAAGGAAACAAAAAATGGCAATAAACCAAATTGTACGAGTGAAAAGTTTAAGAACTGTTTGGAAACAAGTTGGTGCAGTCTGAAATGTGAAGGCAACTGGAGGAATTGGGTCGCAGCGAACGGTGCCAAAGAACTTACACAGGCGCTGTCTCACTTATAGGTATGTGTGCGTATATATGTATATGTGTATCCTAACTGCTACCAACGGCTCAGTTGCAAGAGCACGTTCGGACATTTTCGGTTTTTTGTCCCCGCGTATTCATCACCTGGCGACAAGCAGGTGCTGATTACTTGAACATACATAAGGCTTGAGGAAATAGAAAGCAGAAAGCGCGCAGACAACATTCACCCAACGAAGACAATGGCATTTAGTGCACATTGCTGCAGAAGACACTTCTCGGTGGTATGTGTATGTGTATGTATATGAGTATGTGGGGGTTTCGGTAATGGCATATGGGGTCTAGCAAAAATTTCTTTGACTGCTGTCAGCGACGTGCCAACGCTTCGATAATAAATTTGCCTGCCAAGGAGAAAGGAACTGGGTGTGTCTATAAAACATAGCAAGAAGTTAGTCTTCATTTAAATCAGTTTTAATTGGGTCGCTGGTTGTAATATCGCTACTGCTGATAATGTCGCATAGGCCTTATGCTTATATCTCTATATATGGCTATTTTTCTGTTGTCAATTGTGTAACTGGTCTGGCACTCAGCCGCGACCAAAATGTGTGCCACATTTGGCTTATCGGCGGTTTTATCGCTAGCATAGTTTATACACACCTATATTTGAATCTGCGATATTTTGTAAATGAATGCCTGCGGTGTGACTGCCGGTGATATCTGGATATTAGGAAAGGGTTTCGAACAGTCAAAAATTTTTTTTATTATCGATTATTATAGATAGAAAAATAGCACATCAAGTTCTGAATTTTCTGAATGTCAGAGATCACAAAACAAGCGCAAGTGAACAACAAAATTGTAGACCATAAAAGCATCTAAAACCAAATATAAAATTAAAAACCAAAAGTAAATTACAGGCGCCTAGATTGGGTATTGTCAGGGATTCATAAAGCGAATGTCACTTAGAGATGTAACGAAGAGAGAGATTTGTCTTTAAGACACTGGACTAAATATTAAATACTTGTTATGCATACGTGTCTTTTCGAATTGAAAGCAGTGACACAGTAATTTTAATGGTGAATTTGTGTTCTTGTATCACTACTTAAAGCTTGTTTGTAATATATACACTACCAAGTTTCCTTTTAGTGGTTGTGTTGGTATTTGTGTGCCACTATTTGTATGTTTCAATGAACCTTCGCTTGCTTTTTCATATCTGTGCGTGGGTAAGGGGTAGGGGGAAATTGTATAGGAAGTACTGGCAGCTGTTTGCAATTTGCATTTTTAATTTCGCAGCGCCAACCCGACGACTCTGCGCTGCGACCAAATGTGTTGGGATTTCGCTGAGATGTTGTGCAAAGTGTGCTCTGTAAATATTGAGAATCTGCGATAAAAGTTATGAATTCAGCATGAAACTTTTGTAAACATGGCGAGCTGCGGTGCAAATGAGTATTCTGCGTAAGCATGCAGTGGCACAGTTAACCCGGTTGCCAATGGAATTTCTGGAATGCCAGTTTTAGTAAGGGAGTTTCTCTCGTTTTCAAAATTACTTGCAATTTGAAAAAACAAAATTAATAAGATAGCGGTGATTTAGAAATATGTTTGGAGTTGAATTATTTCCCCTTAGGACCCGCTCATCGTTAATATCAACCACTTGCAAATATCCGAATATTCGAAATATGTGGCAAGCCTGTTAGCTTGCTGTGCCGCTAACTGTACTTATTTACACATACAAATATGTACGCAAGCGATGCAGCAATTAAATATTATATGTAATTAAACTTTGCTCAAATATTATTTGGATTTTAAAACTTTGTTGATTGCGGCAATTTCCTCTGTGCTAAGCTAAATTACATGTAAGCTTACTTAAATAGCAGCTAAGTTAGATTAAGACATTAAAAGTTCGGAAATTAAAACACGCATATTTATTTTTCGAAACCCACGTGCTCATAAGAAGCCTTCAGAAGTTAGAGAAAATCTTTCTAGTGTCAATACTCATTTATTTACGTAAGTTTACAGAACGCAGTGAATTATTACAGTTTATGCACAAAAATTCAGTTACAAAATTCAAATGGAAGCTTTTACACTCGAATCTCTTGAGAGTTAAATCTTATGTTACTTTGAAACTATTGCGTAATTGATAACGTAAATGAGCTTGCTCACGTTAGATAACTTTTTTCAGGGAAAGTTTGCAAAAAAAAAATTTCAAAAATAACCTTAACCCTTAATGCATAATATATGTACACGGATGTATAAGATATAAGCGGTTAATACATAAGTAAATAATTCGAAAGTTTAGAAAAATTAATGTTTCTATATTTAATCTGCAAAGAAAAACGAAATAAAGTTCGGTATTCTCCTATCACTGAAGACGCACATCCTCTGCAACCACGGCGCTACACTGTAAAATAACCGAACAACTGTCTATTAATTCCAGTTAGCATTCTTAATTCTTGGCTGTTTCGCTTGAAAAGTCCAAGATAGAACTAAGGGTTTGCCGATATTGTGGGCCCATATGACATCTCTGCTTACATGTAGATACAATTTTTTTTTTCAATGCGAAGTGGGTGGAAATATTGTTGAAGATTGCCGGTCGGTAAAATTTTAAACTTTTTTACAAAGTGGAGCTTTTTTGAAAATTACCTTTAAAAGGGAGCAGAAATGAAACGGAGGAGGACAGATAGTTTAGGGTGCATTTTCCTTATCTCTTATAGCTCTTTCCTTAATCTTTAATTTTGTGTAGATTTTTATTTCAAAGGAAAATAAACGAGTTTTCAGCGGTCATAGCTGTGGCAACACCAAACCTGCACCGACATCTCTCACTCATACTCTCACATACTTCATACTTACCGCCCAGTTACTTGAACGCTGAAGTTAAACGTCATAGCCATCATAGCCACCATTATGTCGGCCATAGCCAGCGACACGACAAAGTAATTCGTTATAATTCTGCAAAGATAAGTCAAGGAAAATGAGGTCAATCCATAAAGCGTATTCAATAAAGATATATCTAAAATGTACTTGATATCAGTTCATAGTATTGGCTTGATGACCTTTGACATTTGTACTGAGACGCGCTTTAGTAGGCGGTTTAATATTGTAAAAAAAAATATATAAAATGGAAAATTATGAAGGAATTACGAAAGATGTAGCTTAAAGCTTAAAGCCTGTTTGCTCCAGTGCGTTCTTAATGAGCTCATAAATGCTAATACTGCCGTCACACAAGTGGCAAGTTAAGCAATTTAACTACCCGTGTATGCTGCTCGAGTGGAACTCAATTCCCAACAATATTCTTATTCTAGGAATCCGGGAAACATTTCCTAGCTTCGTTTACCCATAGCCGGTAATGTTAAAAGTCATGTGACCATGAACTTTCGCAATATAATATGTCCAGTAAACGCTATTAAGCGGGGAATTCGTAAATTGCGCAAGAGATAACATTTAATCATGAAAATCTTTTTTCCACCTTTCCATAAACTTGTTCCCGCGTGCCAAGTCTCTTTGCTCACAAAGCATGGCCGATCTTTAGATAGTGTGTTCTTGTTGGTATTTGTGGGCTTTTTCTGGCCATGAGAAATGAAATATTTATATTTATTTACTTTTTTGCCACTGATTAACTTTTAGCAAATTTTTTATAATCATATAAATGTATACACACATCTGAACGGCGACGGTTGCCTTGAATATTTCACTAGATTTGACAAACGATTTGCTGCTGACACTTGACGTTTCGTGAATTCAGCAAAAAGTGATTTTTTAGATTTTCGATTGGATATTTTCAACTGTTAGAATCGTGTGGTGGATTGTGTGAATGTTGTAGTAATTATTTTTACGAGGGTCGCCCTTTATGTTTCGGTATTACGGTGGATGACTCATCAAATCGATATTTGATGCATCAAGATGTCATAGACGCGTTTGGTAGCACTGCTATCGTATTTATTTAACATTTCTCTTGACCAACACACAAACCTTTTTTTGAGCGATTGAAAAACTGCGTGAGGTCCAACGTGAAAGACATTTTTTACAATCAAATGTTCATGCAATATTGGTCCCACTAATGCCTATAGTTGCCTTAATCTAACGATAGGTCATATGCCGATTTTGCAATATCGCTTTGCGCAAAGCATTAATAGTTTCCGGAATAACAACTCATTTTGGACGACCTTCACGAAATTCGTCTTGGAGTGATCTACGACCTCAATTGAATTTAACATATCGTCGATAAACACTAGTATTTGATGCAACTTCATCATCAAAAATTGAATTAAGTTCATCGATGCACGGTTGCTGAGTTAATCCACGTCGAAAGTTGTAAAAATAATCGGACGAAGATGTTCGTGATTTAATTCCATTTTTTGGCCGAAATGAATATTTTAAGTTCCTGTAAACGACACTAATAGCGCTTGTATATCAAAACCAAACTTTGCGATAAAGTTGCAACAATAGGGTTATCAAATCCCGAAATATAAAAGGCAACCTACGTATATATCTATATTTGTTGTAATACCAATCATGCCAAGTCACTGGAGTAGGAATTATGGACTATGTGTTCTATATGGTATTATGATTTTACGCCCACACCTATTGGCGAAACAAAATAAAATTGGTTCATAAATATAAAGAAAATTAATTTTGCTTTGTAGCTATAAATCTGAGCAAACTTCTTTTAGCTGCTTAGTTAACTTTACTAGCAATTATATAAGAGTATATTTAATACACGAATGTGTATGTATGTGTAATTCGACATGAGAACCTGCACAGCTGAACAGCGTTACGGAGGAATTATGCGAGTTGGTGAATGTATTTCGATGGAGAAATAGCAAGAAGGATCCTTTGAAACTAATTTTCATTGTTCTGTATTCATTTCAAGAACCAAAAACCTCAAAGATTCTCCAACAACAAATTGATATAATATAAAATCCTAGTACTCTGCATACTGGATTCGGTGAGGACCCGCTGTAGCAAATAGGCGAAAATTCAGTGCCTGAGTTGGGATAAGACTGACAGAGGCTTTGAGCCTTGGTTAATATATGCGCGGTTCACACTGTCTTCCACATACTCGGCATACCAATGATTTATGTAATTCATAATAGCTGAGCTGTAGCAAAGTTGAAATCAAATAATTGAACAAATGAACGTTGCATGCAATGCGTTGCAAGAAAATAATAAATTAATTGATGAAAACGCTTGTTCAAGGTCGGTAAAAACGACGCCACTCCCTGAAACTAATCGGCTACACTAATTATCCTTTCCGCCGCCTTCCGCATGCCTTAAGCAGCTAGCTCATTTCCGCTTTTCTGCTTTACTAATTTTTGTTTGTGCTTTCTGGCTGCAAGCATTGCCAATGTTTACTTCAGTCGTTGAATCTTCTTTCCTAAATTACATTCGCCTTTGAATTTACTAGCGAGTTAGTGACCGACATTCCACCTTTCTGTACTTACTGTCCGCATCAAATGAAATCAGTTGTTCTCTTTTGGTTTCATTTTACCAATGATGCTATTGCTCGATTTGTATTCATTATTTTGCACACATTTAGTTTTTTAGTTATAATTGTAATTTTTCATAATATTACAGCTTAAAACTTAAATCCAATTAATAAAATTGGACTACCTATTTATTAATAATTGGACTCGACTGTAATTTTTAGTTAGTTTGAGAATATTTCAAAAAAATTCAAGTTTTTTTTTTAATTACCACAAAATATCGGGACTGGCAACCTTTGTTGTAAGAGAGCAATCAGCTCGTTTCTACGGGAAAAATCCAATTTTCGCAAATATCCACGTACACGGACGATAAAAGCGGACGGTAGAAGCAGTGATGAGTGTTCATTTACATAGCGCTCTCATAAGATAGGTCGTATCAGCTGATTCGGTCTACGGTTTTGTGTTGGCCACTAACTGAAGCATTAGCCATCGAAGTAATAAGCAAAATGGCGAGCGCTGTGGGAGAACTTGCAACGTTTCATTCTAAAATTGCAATTGCCTTTAAGGTCTTTAGTATCAATATGTAAGTATGTAAGCGGTATTTCCCTTTGTTAATTAACGTTTATGTGACTCGCTTGTCGACAAAATTAATTTTGGTCCCAAAATAGGCGTCTTTAAAAGACGATCTCAACTAATTACTCAATAAAGATTTTCAATAAATGGGGACCTTGGTGAATACTCACACCAGTAAATTTACAAATAAAACATTTTGATTTCTATCTCTAATCTGATTGTCATAAAAGATCCCAGATTTGCGTTGCTTTGACAGTTCAGTTCAATATACGCATTTAACTGTTGAAAGTGGGGCAATTGAATGTTGTGCGCTTTAACAATCGGCTGATAAACTTATGAAACTTATGCCAATTCACATTGAACTTTTGCTTCGCCTTGTGTCAGATATTCGTTTTGACAGATAGTTCACATAAAAAATTTGGGCAACTTTTAACAGTCGCCATTTTTGTTAGAGAGAAACACTGAAAGCAAAGCCTATACTGTGGCATACCCTTTGCCTTTTGCGCTTCGTGATTTCAGTATGAACTAACCAAAGCTGTGTATGAATGAAGCACGAGGGTTAAGTGAACTTCGGCATAGCGATATGGTCATTTCCCATCCAAGTTATTTAATCTATTTGTTGGTGGAGAACTTTTTGTAGGACCTGTTACAGCAATAGCACACCTCATTCTCTAATAGAATTTTATTTAATTTATTCAAAAGCTTGCGTCTGGAGTTGAAAATGAAAAAAATTGACACATTAGATATTGACTTACCTTAATTTTCTAACTCGCATCACAGAAATAATGACAAGAAGATTTCCGAAAATAGCCGCAATTATGATGAAGAGCATTAGGGACGCCTTGAACACCAAGTACACAACATCGAACCATTCACCGCTATTCGCGACATCGTTGATGCCCTCCACACTATCCGCGCCAGCGTCGTCCAGTAGCGTGAAATTGTTTGGCGTCACGGTGACGCCTGCTGAGCCCAACAACGTGGAAGTGACGTTGGGGTCCAGTTGTGAGAGCATGCCGCTGTCCAGCACGGCCTGCGCCTGGGGCGTCTGGTGCTTGGCAGCGACGCTGTGATGCGTTTGGGTCTGTGTCGAGGCAGCAGCTGCAACTGCAACACTGGTGTGGAGGAGAGCGGTCGCAAATGCCGTGCTCAGGTTGAAGCCGAGACTGGCGGCGCGTGCACGGGGCGATGCTGTTGTGATGTTGTGGGTCTCCGCTCTTGTTGGTGTTGTTGCAATAGTTGCGCGCCGCTGACAGTGATGTCGTCGGTGGTGCATGATCTCTGTACATGTTGCCGCTGCTGTTGCTGCTGTTGCTGATGTTGTTACCGCTGAGGCAGCCGATAATCGTGGCGGCGGTGGGGTTGTGGTTGCTGTTAGCGACACTGCGGTCCTTGTGGCAAGTTGCGGCGCTATCGCCCGCATTGTCGTTGCAGATATTGTTGTTGTGGTTGTTCTTGTTGTCATTGTTGCCATTGTTGTTGGTAGCGCCGTCGTTGTTGTTGGTAAGTCGGCATAATTTGCCAATTTGTTCATAGCAATTCGTGTATTTGTTGTTGATGTTGTAGCGTTTGACGCCACGCGGTTTCTGTTGCACTGTTCAAGCTCACTGCACAAATTTCGTCTTTTTCGACGCGTTGTGGATACGTTTGTAGTTCTTTGCACTGTTTGACTGATTGCGGTTTGGTTGAGTGTTGTTGTTGCATTTAATGGAAGCATTGTTGGAGTATTGGTAGACATTTTGTTTCAACCTTTTCGCACAAACGTTGCAATTTATTTTTAATTTCAAATATCAATAGTACCCTATTCAATATTTATGAACAAACCACACTTTTTCTTCATTTAATTTAAATTAACTTTACTTGATTTTATTAAATCGCCTTTGCACTGAGCTCGTTGAGGGCTTTGCCTTTTTAATTTGTTTACAATTTACTAGAATTCCATTTCAACAATTTCTCTGAAATGGTATTAATTGTTTTTTTAAATACAATAATTTACTGTTATCACTTGGGCCGTTCGATTGCCGTCGACGAGCTGCCGCAGAAGAAAAGTTCGCTGATCGAACACGCGCTTCGCTTTCTACGCCCCGAACTGTACTGCAGGTAGCATGGTGGAAAGTGGTCTGTCGACTGTCCTGGTCGTTGTGTCACACGTCACCAGTGCTGCCAGTCGTGCCAGTCGTGCCGACGCGCCCTCACCGCCATCGCAGTCCATCCGCCATTAACAACACCAACGCTAAAAATCTTTTGCTTCTTGTTGTCGTTTGTGTTATTTATGTTATTCGTTCTTGTTCTTGTTGTTATGTAGTGTTGTTGATAAACTGTTCTTTGTAGTTGTCACCGTCACCTTCACCGCGAACGTGGCTAGGTTGCGGCTAGGCTAGGCGCTGGATGTGTTCGGCCGTGTTGTGTTATTGTTGTTGTTGCTAATTGTTGTTTCTTTTCCTATGTTGTGAAGATTGGCGGTGTATTTTTGTTTTGTTATTGTTGCTTTTAATGATCACTGTCTCTTGGCCACTACTTGACACTTAATATTTTTATTTTTTTGTTGTAGTCGTTTTCGTGTTATATATGAATGTATGTGACGTTTTTCTGAAATTTCAAATTTGTTTATGTCTTTTTCGCACTTGTTCTTGGCATCTCCTCTTGCACTTGGCAAGCGTTTTGTCTTTTCTAATTTTCATTTTTAAATGTGAATAAATAAATATTCGTCGTGCTTAATATATTTCCTAATTTTTGGTTTTGTTATCTGAAAATTGTACATGAATGCTGCGTTTCTGCAGGTTTCTTTATGCATGAGTTATCTAACACATTACTGTTCTTCTACACTTTTGCCATCTTGCTATTTTCTGGCAAAATTCTAAACTAACTGGAATTTGAGTTGTTTTTTTTTAGCAAATCCACACTTATTGGACTTTCAGAAGGTGGCGTTTTCTTTTAAAGACTGCATACACATCTTTGCATGTTAAAGTTAGGAGATTTGGCTATCTGAAAGGACAACAAATTGGTCTAACCTAATGATGCCATTCGGATATGCGAAATATCTACTGTGAGGTCATTCATTTGAAATTAGTATGCTGTCTATAATAAGATGTTGAAATATAAAAAGATAAAAATATTTCTTTCAAAGCGTACCAGAAGTGTATGAACACCCTTATTTCGGTACAAGAACCCTAGGGAAGCTGTGGACGTGGTCACACAAAAATTATTCGATATACAGATTTGGATGTAGATTAATTTCATTATTAAAGAAGGCTTGCCATGCATATTTAAAGCATATGTGTAAAGCTTTTTTTCGAAATCTTTGTTGGTGTTTTAGATATCTAATATCTGACTGATTTATATAAGGTTATAACTGAGCTTTCGAAAAATGCAAAAGTTTTATCAGCAGCACCCTGTTCGCCTGTGAATTGATTTATTCTGAGCAGATGCGCAAATCATATTCATGCCCTGGCATTTGCCTCGCAGCGGCCACACGAACGCGTCGATGCGTCAAACGAGGCTCCCGGCGTGGGACAAGCGCTACCTAAAGAGTTTGTCGGTTTGTGCGACGGCAACGAGCGGAGTGTCAGAATGTTATGAAGTGCTTTGCTATTTTCTTTTTTATAAACTCACACGTTTTTGGCGCAGCGTTGCTGAGCTATTTTTGCACACATACGCACACCATCACATACATACAAGCTTTTACATTTTATAATATTTTGATTTTACGGTTTTCCACGCTCTGATATTTATTTATTTTATCTGCTGTGTATATTCTAGGCATGTAAGTATGTATGTATGTATGCATGTGTATGTTCTTGTGCCCATCGGTTTATTTGGTTGTCGGCACTTAAGTGACACTTCAATCATTTGCCATTTGCTCAAAAATAATATTGTTGTGTTGGCTCACTAATTAAAGTGAAAATCGCCGCCACTAGCTGCGTTGCACCAAGTTTTACATTATTTCTCTCGCATTCGTTTAATTTATAAGTTTAAATGGATGCATTTGGTTTAAGCCCGATTATGAAAATGATGATTTTAAGTGCCGGAGTTCTGTCAGCCAGTGGTGGTCAGGTTGAATGTGTGTATGAGTGCGTGTAGGTGTGTATTCACATTCCTCCTTCTCAACTTCACCAAATGCGCCTCTCGACTGCGCGCTCTTTCCCGATCGGCAAATATAAATTGATAATTAAAGGATTCTGTCACCGTGAAATTATTCTCAAAGCGAAGTGACTATTGAAATTGCCGCACGAACGCACCCAGAACCGAAAGCTAAAACAAAATTCTATTCTGCGGGGTCTCCGCGCTAATAAAATGGCAATACATGCCATTGCAGGAAAACACACGCACATTTGCACACTTATCCATAAACATTTGAACGCATACAAAAGGCGAATAAAGAAATTTGGAAATGTTTGGGATATGTGCCAGTTGTTGTTCTTGAATAAGGTAATTCTTTGCGGTTGGTGCTTTTTGAATTTCCGTTATTTCGTTTTGTCAATATTATTTGCGCCGTGGTTGTTGTTGCTGTTACTTTTGTCGTTGCTATACATATATTGATGCCATTTCAGATGTCACGTTATTGTTGCAGTTGCATACATGGTGTATGCATACATATGTATATGTACGTATATGTACCATAAGCGCGCTTGTCCAATAATTGTAGCATTTCTTGCGACCACTGCTTCTGCCTTCGCTTTCAGTTCGTCTTTCCCCCTCTTAACGAAATTATCATCAGCATCGTAATTAAACATTTGGCCATCCGTGACATAGCATAGCACCGCACAGCATAGCATTCACCGCGGTCGCTAATATTATACTTGATTCTTGATTATTTTGGCAGCAGTCCAAGGCGGTGGCTTACTAGAAGAAAAAGAAAGGAAGAGAGAGAGGGAGAACAGTTCAAAAAATGCTATTAATAAATTATATTTTTAATTATTTTATAGTTCACATAAAAACAACCATGAAATTTTTTTATTAAAATACTACACTAAATGTTTTAGTGTGTGAGTCTATTGGACCAACTGCTGCTATCCAATAAATTCGAAATTTAAAAGAAAACGAAGGAATGAAGTAAGCGTTTATAGCATGCCCGTTCCACAACTAATTTTGACATTTGAATTTGAATTTGGGTGACGTTTACAAATCTATTTGTGTACGTATATATTGGTACAGTGAACCCTCGGATATCGATACTTATGACGAGTTGGCAGCATTGGTTTTCACGATGGGAAAAACCTACAATTGAAGGGAAACTTCAAGTTTCGGAACTCTGTTCCAATTTCTCTTTCTTTGCTGAATTTCGGTATTCCTTTAAGCTAGATCCCGAAATTTTGCCACGCTCCAGGGTGAATAATTTTGGTCTCATTAGTGTAAATTGCTAACTAATGACTGCAATTCGGGTGTGATGCATGACAAAGCGAAAATTCGAAGGAGAACTATACATACATACATATGTGTTATATTTTTGTCACTCTCGTTTTGTATTAATAAATATTGTTTTTATTTTCTATGAATTCATTTATGAAAATTGTATCGTATTGCTCTTTTGGAAAAATGTTAATTATTTAAAGAGATAAAAGAGAGCTGAGCTTAGCTCAGCAAAAGTGGAGTGTTAGAGAAAACTAGTATAATAAAAAACGGCAACGCTGCAATATTTTAAGTGTGAAGTTTGAAAACATAACCATCATCAGTCGAGGTCTGATTAAACCAAAGGGCTTAGAAACCAGGCGAGTGGGGTTTGTTGTATTTTATCCAGGGTGTTATTGCACGTGAACAGGGTTCCCTTTATATCTCTCTTTCTTTGAAAAAAAAAAAAACAGAGTTCGCAATTGGAAAATAAATATTTGTATATTTGAGAATGCCTTGAGTAGAAAGCAAAGTGATTTGCTGAATACAGATCTGCCGTCGCCTTGGTGACTGAGCTTCTTCAATATGCGATTTCAACGCAAAGCCAAAGTAAATTGTCTACATTTGCCTGATTTCTTGGCACATTTTCTATGCAAGTAACATAAGCAGTTAAATCAAAACCCGATTTATAATAATAATTATTATTTTATTGATACACACGCCCCTTGCTACGAGAACTGTATCAATATTCGCATTTGCTATTTCGAAAGTTGCAGTCGAAAGACATATTCAAAGTGCATTTTCATCTATGAGTATACAAACATACACACGTGCATATAGGTATATATATAGCAGAATACATGCATACATAGAAAGATGTGTGTATGTTTGAGTGTGCAAGTGTCAATATTGAGGTAAAAGTGGATAAACCGTCGAATTGCAATGCAAATAGCCTTGCGTGCGTTCAAGTGCAATGCCAGGCGAACGGCAATTTGGCAGCTGCCAACGAAGCGGCGTGAGGCGCGTACATATGCGAGTGTAGAGGGCGCGCGGCGGCGTTGGCGCAGCTACCTCACCGTTGGCACTCGCTGTTGCCATTGTCAATGGCATTGCTCAAACTGTGTGCGACGTGTGTGTGTGAGTGGGATAATTTATCTTCCACAATTCTTATTTTAAATTGGCGCATTTTGCCTGGCTTTTTGTTGTACTGTGCGAAAATGCGAATTTCAGAAATCCCACTTTGTGAAAGTGTTCAACGTTTTTTCGCTTCTTCGCAGATGAAATATGCATTCATTGTCAACATAAATATATTTTTCATGAATTGCCCGAACGCGAGCTTACTCAAGGACACGCCCACCTGCTACAAATGGCAATCATGAACTTGTATATATTGGTGCCAAGATGATGTTGGTATGTTTGTGTGTGTGCTTAGGTGGGTTTTCGTTTTCTTCTGACGTTGTTGTAGACCAACGCATCTCATCAACGTGAAATGCCTTGTATTCTTCTTACAATTTATATTTTGAATTATTTTTAGTTGATGTTTTTAGATAAATCTCGATATGAAGCGAAGCGGAAGTATCACTCTGCTTAAACACCGTGGGGCAGCGGACTATAATTTTATTAAATTCGGTTGGAAGCTACTGGGATCGTGTAAGATGCAGTAAATTACTTGATTAGCTTCGCAATAACCCTTGACCAAAAAAATATGAAATTGTGAGCGAATTTTCTTGAGCATTTATAAATTTTCCTTGACTTAAGAAGTTACTATATAACTCTGAGAGTCATGCTTCTTAAGATACTTAAGATTATATCCCACAGTGCTGAAGATGTTTCGAATGAAAAACGTTTATAAGCACAGCCGTGCCATTGGTTAGCATATTTTCAGTCGCACAAGATCGGCTTCCTTTCGGTTTGCAAGCGATTTTCCAGTTAGCCAATGGCCTCATTACTCGTTGAGATTTTGCTCGCTGAAAATGTTTGCGTTTCATTAAAATACATATACACGTGTGAATATGCTTTTGTGTGTGTGTGTGTGAATTAATATAGTGATTGATGGACAGTAAACACACATTTGCCTTAATATTTGCATATAAAATGCATTTTTGAATTTCATTGAGACTAAAAGATAAACATTATGTGTGTTTTAAACAAGTAATTTGCTTTAAAATCCAAATATTGGCATATGAAAATAAACTTTACACACATCTCTCTGTTTGACACACTATTCCATTTAATTGATTTGCTCGAAAAGTATTATGAAACACAAACACCTCTCGGCCATTGCAAACTCACAGATTTCAGATAAATTCTGGTTGCTTGTGAGCGTGATATATTCAGGAATACTTCAATGCCATTAATATATCCTGCTTTCAGACGTGTATATCGTATGTTTGTTTGTGCGTACTTGTCAAAGCTTCACCTTGCGCTTGAGATATTCTGTACAAAGCATAGTTTTAGGCGCTGCCTGTATATTTATTTATAAAAATTTATTTTCTTTAACAAAGGAACAGAAGGACGGAGTTGCCGATAGAGTGGCCTAAAAGAAGACACTGGAATGCGTTGGAGTTTTAACTGTACATCTGTCTCCTAACTTTCAGCCGAAAACTTGTCTTAAGAAAATTTTTATGTGCAAATTGCTGGTTTGAATTTACTGCAATCATAAATGAAATTAAATACTTTTTCCCGTTAAATTGGCCTTTCATGTGTGGCTCCATTTTAATTTTATTACAGCACAGCTGGAGGTTATGCAAATACGCTCAGTGCTAAAATGCCGAATGGGGAGCATGTCGTAATGCGGAGTTGGGGGGCAACTATCAGTGCTGCCACAGTTTATAGGCCCGATTGTTTTGGTTAATTTAGAGCTTGCGTTGAATTGATTTCAATTCTCCTCAACTGACTGCAGTGAACAATGGATGTGTCCACCTGTATTGTTGTTATTGTTTGTGCTGTGCGCTTTGCTGTACTATTGTGTTGCATGCGAGTGCGCTTGTTAGTGTTGTTGTGTTTATTATCATTGTTTGCCTACATGCGAAATGTTAATTGAAATACAAACAATTATCCACATTGACTTCTGCACACATATACACACGCAAATTTAATCCGCAACACATTGGACACACACATATACGCATAACGAGATGCGTTGCTTGCATTTGCATTTGTTTGCGAGCGAATACGGGCAATTTGTGGATAACAAGATTAACCCCGACCCCCAGCGGGCAATCGGCCGCCTTCGGTGTTTATGCCAACTGCATTCGTTTATGCGACCGATGGTATTGCTTAGGGTGATGCCTGCTTTTGAGTGTTGCTTTTTCGGTTTGATTGCGAAAGTTTCCAATTAAGTGAAATTAAATAGCCAATTAAGCTAATAGTACTAAAAATCTTAATTTAATTCTCATCGCAAGAACTTTAAAAGGAAACGTAAATGTATTTTTATTGGCATTGTACAAAACAAAAAAATTTTGTAGCCTACGACGTTTAGCATGATTTAAACATAGGAAGGACACAGCTCTGACACAGTTTTTCTTTTCTAGTTTTCTACGTCTCTTATTTTTGTATAAAACAAAACGGTAAATATAAGCATCATAGTTCTGAAAAACTGCAAAGAGATTCTCATCACCTATTTTTCCAATTCTCAACGTATCAATTGGGAGTTTGCTTTTGATGCATTCTAATGAATTCATGTTGCGTATACGCCCCGTCGACTTAAAAAGAAAATGGGAGTATTGCCTCCACCAGGGTAATGAGTTCAAAGTCAAACTCTACAGTTGTATAGCACTTACAATAACTGCAAAAAATCTAACGGATTAACGGCGGTTGTGGACGGCAGTTTTGTTAATTTTTTCGCGGGAAACTTTAATTTGAAATGCAAATAGTGCGGAACCGCTCCGTGAAGTTTGCATGAGTTTGGCATTTTCGGCGTGTTTTTGTGGTTAAACACGCAGAGAGAACTTTCCTCGTGTCTCATTTGACTCTTGGTATTCTTATATATGCTCCTGTATGAATAAATGTGTTCATTACAAGAATATTTGCGCAGTAAAAAACATGTTCTCACTTGCATAACTCGAATGCGAATCTACAGGTTTGGATTTTATGTCGTGGTCGTAAATTTCTTCTGCAGCAATTTTTTGCGCAGCCACATAAAAATGATTGATGCGAAAAATGGTAGACAATTTGTTGCACCCCGTTGTTTGACTTCGCAATTTGATGCGAATTTTCGAATTTTGCCGTTTACATTTGTTCACACACGTACATATACGCAGATATTCGTCCGCTTTATTGCTTCCAGTGATTCTTTGGAGTGCAGGTGGCTCCATATAGTGCAACAAGGCCAATTCAACTGCACGTGACTTGTCAACCAGTTAATAAAGCAACAAAAACAAATATGAGTTCATATACATATGCGTGCAAGTGTAAGCGACAAAAAGAGAAGGGAAGGGCAATATATGAAAGCTTAGAAATAAATATTTCGGAATGGTTCCAGTGAGTGGTTTTTGGGTTGCAAGAGTTGCAAA